TCAGTGCTGCCAGACGTGGTGGCAGGGATGGGGCTGCTGCCAGCCCCGAGCTGCCCGCTCAGCTGAGGCGCTGGGTTCGGGCTGCCCACGCCGTGGGCCGAGGCTAACGCAGGCCAGGAAGGAGGCGTAGGGCCCTCGCAAGCATGGGGCAAGTGAAACCCCCCGTCCCCAGCCATCTCCTCCGTTGGGCATATCTCCGTAGCATCGCATTTAACCTGCAGCCAGGGCCCCCTTGGAAACCTTTGTAATCTCTTGGGGCGCTGCTGGGGCCCCCAGAGTATTCGATGCTTTTCCTAAAGCCCAGGGGGCGTTTGGGATTTTTGCAGCGTGCACTCGGCGGTGCTGCTGCGTGGGGAGGGACGAAGGCTCTGGCGTCAGGCCGGGCAGGGGTGTCACACGCCTCCGGCCTTTGCTGCTGAGGAAGAAGGAAATCCTTTATATTTTCAATTTTGCATGTTGACGGCGAGCTTTGAACTCAGTGGCAGCTCCTTGGGGCACCGACGGTCTCTTGCACCCAACTCAGGTGCCTCGATGCCATCGGGGCACCTGTACATTGCTATTGCATTAATAATTTTATGGTCTGGTTTAAAGCATACAGCTGTAAGCATGGCAGCGGGGGAACCTTCAACCCAAAGTGTGCCAGGGGAGCTTTGGTACAGCGGGTTGGAGAATAACTGGGACAGAGAAAACCAGGAGGCAGAGAAAGCGCGGGGACACAGCCGGCGTCCCCCAGGCCTGGGTATCCCCGCGCCCTCAGGGACCTGGGAATGGCAGAAGGATTCTTGGGTCGGGAGCAAAACTGCATCCAAGCCCGTTGCTTCTTCCTGATTTTTCAGGAGCCCTTTTTCATCTTCCAGAGAAGCACAAAATACACTGGAAGATGCAAAAATCCAGCCCAACGAAAGGACCAGCTGCTCAGTGCTTAGGCAATCTTCCCAGCCTCTGTAATTCTGTGAAATAACAGCTCTGAGTGTCAGAGCAGTTTACTTCTGAGCGGTGAAGTCTGGGGGGAACTGGACAAGTGCTGGGAAGCGGGAATCAATACTCTGCATCCCAACAGTGTTATCCCTGTGTTACTGCACGCCAGGATCCGCTACAGTGATTCGCAAGTTAAGAAAGGAGTGGAGTCTTTTAGGGAAAAAGGTGATTTTTGGTTTTTTTTCAGGGTTTTTGCACCAGCGTTAGATACCAACGTAACAGAAGAGGACAAGGGGCCGCCGCGCCTGACGCCCCAGCGGGGCCGCTCCTGGGACCGAGCCCTGAGACGCACCATCCAG